GCATATGTATATATATATATATATATATATATAGATAGATAGATAGATAGATAGATAGATAGATAGATAGATAGATAGATAGATAGTAAATTACTGGACTATAACCTTCGTTCAAGGCGAGCAGATTTTTACAAATATCAAATAATAAAGGAACAATAGTTAATAGATAAATTCAAATTACTTATCTTTTTAACTTTTATCTATTTATCTATCTATACATCTACGAGCACACACATGCGCGCGCACACGCACACACACACATGCATATATATATATATATATGTGTGGGAGGTGTAAAAACAACCAACTCGCAGCTAGACGTAGTTGTATATTACGCCGCTATGTGCTACAAGTCGACATTATTCTGACCCAGTCTACTACGTGGCGTCGTTCTGACTTCTTTTTTGTGGCTTTATTCTGACGCTTGCAAGTAAGTTTGGCCTTTTTTTTTATTGATGATTGCCAAAAAAATAGAATGTACGTAAAGCTATTTCCTTTTCGAAAAAATATACTGCTGAAACGGTCGCAATTCTCCAAGAAGCCTTTAAAATGTGAAGCTTTAGAGAAAGCCTGTGTACGCAAAGTATATTTTCGTTTCAAACGTTGTTGGACAAACTTCAACAAGGTGAAATGGCAAGTATTTTGAAAGATCGTCGTTCGGACATTATGATATATCTGAGGTAAAATGAATAAGAATACACACATACACGCACACACGCACACACACACACACACACGCACACACACATAGATAGATAGATAGATAGATAGATAGATAGATAGATAGATAGATAGATAGATAGCATGACACGTGACAGTACTTGACGTAATTTTCAGTTAACAATATGAATATAATATCGTTTTCTAAATTCTTCAATTTACTAAGGACATTTTGTTTTGTTATTATTAGTTACTTTGTTTTAATAAATTCATTTCGTTCTTGCCTTGAAAAGTCCACATTGGACGAAACGCGTCGGATAATATTACAGTTTTCCTATTGCCTTTTTATATTTATAGATAGATAGATAGATAGATAGATAGATAGATAGATAGATAGATAGATAGATGAAGCAGTACCCAAAAATAAACGGAATTAATTTTAGAAAAATGATTTTAAAAAATGAAAACTCTCTTTTCTTTTATTTTTCCCCTGATTCAATATACATTTTCTCCAGGTAATTGCATTTCTGCAACGCTCCAAGAACCAACTACCACTACTCAACGTTTTTTACTCGTTTTCTTCACAAACCCTAGCACAATATTCTTTACCTCCAAATAAAACTATTTTCTTACCATTTTTCCAAAAGAAAATTCCTTCTATTCACACCAAAGAAAATTAACATGGTTTACATTGAATCGTACATACGGTACATTTTTGTCTCTTGGTGAATTTAGCTTGATGGTTGACATGTTTCTGAGTTGTAACCTCTGGTCAAAACGTTAAAAAGAAACTGTGGCTCATTTGAAAATTGCTCCCTCAAATCCTGGTACAAATTCAGACAATTGTTTTTTTTATCCTCTGTAAGCAGATCAAATAGGAAAACAAATTTAGTTATCTCTAAATAGAAAATTACTTAACATACGGTGACGAAGCATACGTAAAATTTCTACATTCTCATTGAAAATGAAATGAAAAGGTATGCCGTGCTCATAACACTAGCCATCAACTCTATCAAATGGCCTGGTAAATAGTAAAAAAAAAACAAAAAAAAAACATAGATGCATCTACGGAGGTATCTGCAGTGATACAGTTCAATTTGTCTCTGATAGTTTATTTGTCTCTGATGATCCTGATAGGCATGAGCAACTAGGACTATATCAAGCAGCGCCACTTCCCTTCACAGGGCAACGAGGTCAATGGCGCCGTCTACATCGAGGTGCTAGACGCAAGATCAAGATCTGAATCGAGCGAGGTACTATACGGGTTCTAGTAAAACTCTGTTCATTATCATGTGCCCCACGTGTTCCAGAAGCGGCTGGATGAAAATGTATCCAATTATGTTGTCCATCCCAACAAATTCCTCGGAGCTCACCTGATTTGAATTCCCTCGGCAACTGCGCCTGAAGCGTCGTCAAGAATGAAATCAACTAGTGGGCGCACAATACCAAGGACTCAATTGAAAGACCCTAATCGCAGACATCATGGAAAACATGAAATTGGACCACCTGATCCAGGAATTCAGTTGGTTTCAATGTCATATCAAATTTTTTCAAGATTTACTGAATAAACTATTTTTATTTTTAGATTGAACAAATATGCAAAAAACTATATGAAAAATAAAGAATTCTGGAAATATTTTATTACATTATGTTCTCAATTACATGGTGAAATGCACACATACATATATATATATATATATATATATATATATATATATATATATACGTTTGCGTATATATGTTTAAACATGCTGCTTGGGAAGTGTCGACTTTCGCTTTAGTTTGCGCTTGCATACATATATATATATATATATATGTGTGTGTGTGTGTGTGTGTGTGT